AAAGTCAGGTGGGGGGAGCTGTATAGCGAGTTTTGGTCATAATTTGAAATGACCGTATTAGGGGAATGCCGTAAAGTGAAATGCCGTAAAGCGGGGCCCTGCTGTATGTATATGTCTTACGAGCCAATGTTTCCGACGTATTAATACACGTAAATTCTAGCGGCTTCAAATCAAGCAGGAGAAAACTGGTAGGCCCACATGTGAGAGAATAGGTCTGTATGGTCAGTGTGCACCATATGAAAAAAATTCTGCGACGCGCAGTGCATAATGAGAAGAATAAAACTCCGACCATTTTTTTTGGATTAAAACGCCGACTTTGAGGTGTATTTTCATATAGTATTTTCATTGTATTCTCGTTTTCATGGTCTCACGTGATAAAATGAAAAACATATTACAGAAATAGAGATGATTTTGATTAGTTTCACGATGAAAACGACCTTGAAATTGAGCTCAAAGTTGCGGAAATGTTCGATTTTTACCAGTGTTCAAGAGTAAGCAAATCACACCACACGTCCAGTACACGTCAAATGGGGAGTCTAATATTCCTTCACTAGTGCACTGATATTATTTTTACCATTTTTACAATAATGCAGTAGTCTGCATAACAGTAAATGTTTTATTTTTTGTATGAATAAAAAATCAAAATAGAAAGCAATAATAATATAAGAGGGGCCTAGAGATGTGACCATTGAACAGAGGATATGTTATTTTAGTGCCAAGAATGTCTACATTGTTTATTCTGGATCCTATTTTGAAATTCGCATCTTTTTTAGTTTGCATGAAATTGGCCAAATTGCCAGTTTCTGACCACTTTATTGGGTAATTCAAATCGGTAAATGGGTGGTTTCTTGTATGCAATTGATAGAAAAAATGGTGCTGTAAAGAAATAGCTATGAGTTTGGTCAACTGGAACAACGGAATTGGCCAGAAATAGGGCTCAAAGTCGGCAAAATGGCCGATGCGTATGTGTCGCCGAGACCGCTAACTTCGCGGGAGCATAATTCCGTGAGTTTTCAACCAAATTTCGTACTTTTGGTGTCATTACCATCGGGAAAAGATTCTCTGTCATTTCATAAGATTTTTTTTTTTTTTCCAGAATTTATCGACATAGAATGACAGTTTCAGAAAGGGGCCTGTGACAGTCAAAGGGTTAAGGCCAGCAAAGACTGGTTTGAGAGATTTAAGAAGTGTAATGGCATACACAGTGTGGTAAGACATGGCAAGGCCTTCAGTTCTGACAAAAATGTGGCTGAAAAATATGTTGAGGAATTCAAGGGGTACATAGAAGCTGAACAATTCAAACCCCAACAGTTGTTCAATTGTGACAAAACAACCCTCTTTTGGAAGAAAATGCCAAGGACCTACATCATGCATGAGGAAAAGGCATTACCAGGACACAAGCCTATGAAAGACAGGCTAACTCTCATGTTCTGTAGCAATGCTAGTGGGGATTTCAAAGTGAAGCCTTTACTGTTGTATCACTCTGAAAATCCCAGAGTGTTCAAGAAAAACAGTGTTGCCATGAGCAAATTTTGTGATGTGGAAGGCAAACAGTAAGGCATGGATCACTTGGGACATTTTCCTTAATTGGTTCAGTGAAGTGTTTGGCCCCAGTGTGAAGAAATACCTCCTGGAAAATAAATTGGAACTCAAGTGCTTCCTGGTAATGGATAGTGCTCCAGCTCATCCTCCAGACTTGGAAGAGCAAATGGTGAAGGAGTTTCATTTTATCACAGTGAAGTTCTTGCGAGTTGAGGCACCTCATCAACAAGGCAGGTTGGTGCCACTCAGAACTCTCGACCCGGCACAGGTCATAGCAGCTCTCCTTACTTGCACAGTATCCCTACGATCCCCGTTGGGGAGGGGAACCTCTACCATCTCCACGATGTCTCATCTTGTGAGAATTAAGCCCAAGTCTGCTGTCGTCAATGACGCCACGAAGCTTGAGCTTGCAGCTTCTCTCAACACTTTTATTCACGCAAAGTTCTCCAAGATCACGTCACTGAAAAAAGCTTTCATCATCACTTTTCTCGATGATACTGAAGCTGACAAGGTGCTTACACCTACTGCCATGAAGACCTTAGAAGACCGAGGCTTTACCATCTCTACATCACCATACATGCTTGCAAAATGTTCAGTGTTTATGAAACGTCTTGACAAGCTGATCACGAACATGGCCATCCAGGAAATTACTACATCACTTGAAGACCTCAACACCTGGGCCAAGATTGACAATGTAGTGAAGATCCCCAACGCTTCCTCAATGCTCAAGGTCACATTCCTGGACGTTACCATGACGACCAGAGCACTGTCTGATGGCCTGGCCATCTTTTACTACTACATCAACCCTCGACAGATTGAACCTGAACGCTTCACATACATAACACCTTGCTGGACATGTTACTCATACAGTCACTCTACTGCCGACTGCCACGTGAAGAATAAGAAGATATGTTCCACCTGTGGGTCTGCAGGACACGATTTTCGTTCTTGCACTTCCACTGCTGCTCCCACTTGCATCAACTGTAAGAGTGATCACCATACTCTTGCAGCCAAGTGTCCAGTGCGAAAGGATATCCTTTCTAAGAAACTAAAGGAAGAAACAGAGAAGTCATCTGGAACCTCTCCTACATACGCTGCAATTGCCAAGATTCAATCTACAACATCCAAGATTCTACAAGCTACTCAACAGTCGTCTCCAAGAATACTTCAAGCATCTACTCAGCCCGCCTCCACCGTCATCACTCCTCCAACATGTGACGTAACCAAGATCCACTACTGTTTATTATACGCTCACATGCAGAACATGGCTGTACCTGGATCATTTAACTCTACCATCAACGAGTTATTTGCATTAAATAACATGCCTTCATTTACATTTCCCGCATCTCCACCTTCTGAAGAAATTCTCAAATTTACCAAAAACTTAATCGCCAACTCTTTTGCAGAAGTTCCATCAACACCACCAAATAGTGACGTCAATCCAACAACGACCAATGAGAAGCCTCCACTGCCACCACCTCTCACTGAATCCAACCAATCAGAAGCCTTACCACCAGAAACATCTTCTAATTCGTCTACTGAAGTTGAAAACGAAGCAACACCACCTTCCTCTACTCCACCACCGCCTTCTCTACTTAGCTCACGTCGATTAACTGGAACACCATGCTTTAAACATAAAGGACTCGTATTCTACACCACGAGGCTATACCCTGCAAGCATGACTCGCCTAGAACTCATCCAACATCTCCAAGACAACACTGTATCGTACCAAAGCGAAGAAAGACCACTCCCTACCTACAACCAGATACTCCACCACCTCCAAACCAATGAAGACTACTACAGCTCTCCCATAAGTGTGATACAACTCTCTCGAAAACAATATACCGCACTGGTAAACGGTTTAAGACCATAACCAACTCATCCTGCTTGCTGCCTTCTGACACTCCCAGCTCCTACCACTGCCTTCGCCATCCTCTCCTAGTGAGCCAAGCAATGACATCAGTCAAGCCTCTCTATCTACGTCTCCAGTACTTTTGTACCACATGTCCCAAAGTGGTTGGGCCACTTGCCTTGATTCCTCCTCTTCCCCTCCTCCCCATCCTTTTCCAGTTATTTCCATCCTTCCTTATCCTTCTTCCTTCCCATCTTACGACAGCTCTCGTCGTCCTCGATCCGATCGATCCGAAGTTCTTGCCCCCTAATACCACTCCTCTCTCCAGCCCATGGACCAGCAGGTCATTTCAAACTTCAAAAAACTGTACACCAAAGCAGTGTTTCGAAAGTGCTTTGAAGTGACCTCAGACACTGAATTGACCCTAAGAGAGTTCTGGAAAGATCACTTCAATATCCTCCATTGCATAAACCTTATAGGTAAGGCTTGGGAGGGAGTGACTTCCAGGACTTGGAACTCTGGAGAAAATTTTGGCAACAGTGTGTACAAGAGAGGGATTTTGAAGGGTTTGGGGCTGACCCTGACGAGCCTATGCCAGTTTTGGAAGGTACTGTGGCATTGGGTAAGTCCATGGGGTTGGAGGTGAGTGGCGAGGATGTGGAAGAGTTGGTGGAAGACCTCAGGGAAGAGCTAAACACTGAAGAGCTGCAAGAGTTTCACCTGGAGTAGCAACAGACCACAGCTCAGGAAATTGCTTCAGAGGAGGAAGAGAGATTGAGGAAGGTGCCTTCTTCAAAGATTAAGGACATTTGTGCAAAGTGCAAACATTTATGGATGAAGTTCACCCTGACAAAGCTGTTGCAGGCTGTGTTGACAGCATGTACAATGACAGTGTTGTGTCCCATTTTAATAGACATTATAAAGAAATGCCAGATACAGACCTCTCTGGAACAGTTTTTTGTGCGACAAGGGTCCAGTGACTCTCAAGCTGGTCCTAGTGGTATTAACCCATAAACGGTCCAAACGTATATACATGTATACGTTTTTACCGCTAGTGCCCCAAACTTATATGTACGTTTCATGTGTCCTACATTTAACATTGCCACGATAAGCCTGAGTCGCCTAAACATGTGAGAATGGGTGTGAGCACTCACTGTGCACCATATTAAAATAATTCGGGGTGCCTGGGTACCATATGCTCTTTTTTCCTATTAAAAAACAACAATGTTTTTTTTTCCTCAAAAAAGTTGGGGCAGTACGGTAGTGAACGTATATATACGTTTGGACCGTTTATGGTTTAAAAAAAAAAGAAGGGAAATAACCCCAGAAAAGGACTTGCTACCTAGAGTCCTTATTTTTCCTGCATGGTGTCTCTCTTCTCCATCAAATTGGGAAACAAAGATAAGTACTTTTTATAGGTAATTATTACAGCATTGAGGAAATAAGTTATTATTAAATTATAATTTTTTTAATACACTGGCCATCTCCCACCATGGCAGGGTGACTCAGAAAAAGAAAAACAAAAGTTTTCCTTCTTTCCACATTCAGTAATTTATGAAGGAGAAGGGGTTACTAGCCCTTTGCTTCTGGCATTTTAGTTGCCTCTTATCACACACATCTTACAAAAGAAAGATTCTTCTTTGCCTCCCCATGGAGTAAATGATAATATTAAGATCAGATATGGTAACCATTTTTTGGTTTATAAAAATAAAAGTGTATATGTAACTTGTACATTTACACTTTAAAGTAACAAAATAATTTTATTCCATTTCACAGTTATCGAAACCTGCTGGACAGTTTGCGTCTGTGGAATGAGCGTGCTCAGTTGGATGTTATAATGAATGATAACAAACATGCAGAGAGACCACCTCAGCATATTTACATCACATGCAACTTTTGTAAGAAAGGCATTTCTGCATACATCCAAGCTCCTGGACGACCAAGAAATCCATATGCTAGATTTGGCACTGGATCTGCAAATAAATCTAAGGTAATAAATATTTTAGTTGCTTTCAAAATCTCATTTCATTTGTCATTTTTTTTGTAATGGTTTGTAATTTTTATCCCATATCATATCATTTTATGATTTCCATTCTGTTTTTGGGGTGAATGTAGAGGCAGTAAAATTTTATCTGCCATTCTGACAAAATAAATGTGAGAATTGTTCTCTTATTATTAACCTTCTCTTAGCTGGAGACTTCACTATCAACCTTGGCCTACCAGATGATCAGCCTGTAACTGATTTCATCAATAATATGAACAACACACTTCTCATACCAACAATAACTAAACCAACCAGGCTGACTGAGACAAGTGCAACTATAATTGACCACATACGAACCAATATACTAGCCCCCATTAAGTCAGGGATAATCACAGACAGCACTACAGACCACTACCCCACCTTCCTCTTAACAAACATTAGTAAACCACCACTGGAATACAACAAAGTTTCATTTAGACTCCATGACGAGGCCTCAATAAGTAATTTCACAGCAGACCTAGAGACTGTTGACTGGCCTACAGAATTCTCCAAGGTCAATAGTATTGATGATTTGACAGACATTTTTCTTAATAAATTACTTAGACTATACAACAAACATAGTCCTGTAAAAACAAAACAGATCACGAATAAACGGCTTAGCTGCCCATGGCTAACCAGCAGCATTCTGAAATCCATTGTTAAGAAACACCAATATGAAAAGCAATATAGACAGGGCTTAATACACAAAGATATTCTTGAACACTGCTCATCAGTTCTCACCAAACTAATAAAAAAAAGCCAAACAGTTGCACTACTCCAGCAGATTCACTGAAACAAGAGGAGATATAAAATAGACCTGGAAAACACACTCCCAGATTCTGGGGACCCACAAACTGAAAAAAAAAAAAAAAAAGAATATTGTCCTAACTAAACCTAATGAAACACAACTGCATCCCAATGATACAGTTAACAAGATAAACGACTTCTCAACCATAGGATCTGATCTCGCCAGTAAAATCCCAAGTACCAACGCTCGTGCCGGTGACTACCGAGATGGGAATTTCCCAAATTCCTTCTGTCTTGTACCAACTGAGCCCATGGAAGTCACCACGATTATAAAGTCACTTAAAAATAACTCAGGGAATCTGTCTCACGTCCCACCATTATTGTACAAGCGAGCGGCCCATGTCCTTTCGCATGCTATTACATTATTTTTTAACAAGTCACTAGAAACTAGCACTTTCCCGACACTACTCAAGACAGCAAGGGTTACACCAGTACATAAAGGTGGTGATCTTACAGATGTAAACAACTATGGGCCAATATCAAACTTACCATTGCTATCCAAAATCTTCAAGAAACTCATGCACAGGAGACTTCATTTATAACAGCACAAAACATACTCAGCCCCTGCCAATTTGGCTTCAGAAAAAATAAAAGCACTAATGATGCAATTATAAAAATGCTAGATCTGCTTTACACAGCATTGGAAAATAAGGAATATCCACTAGGACTTCTTATTGACCTAAGAAAAGCTTTTGACACAGTAGACCATGGCATCCTACTCCATAAACCTGACCATTATGGTATAAGAGGCCATGCGCTTGCATATTTCAAATCCTACCTTACTAATAGGTATCAGTATGTCACCATTAAAGACACCGCCTCATCAGCACGGCCACTTGATACTGGAATGCCACAGGGAAGTGTCCTTGGTCCCCTGCTCTTCCTCATGTACATCAGTGATCTTCCCAATGTATCCCAACACCTGAAACCCATTCTCTTTGCTGATAATACGAATTATGTCATCTCCCACCCAAATCTTGCCACCCTCAACACCATTGTTAACCCTTTGACTGTCGCAACCCCCAATCCTGAGGTGTCTCCTGGTGTCGCAAAATTTAAAAAAAAAAAAATTATTTTTTCTTATGAAATGATAGAGAATCTTTTCCCGATTGTAATGACACCAAAAAAACGAAATTTGATGGAAAACTGACGGAATTATGCTCTCGCGAAGTTAGCGACCTCGGTGCTGTTTACAAATCGGCGGTTTCGCCCAATTTGAGCCCAATTTTCGGCTAATTCCATTGTTCCAGTCGCCCAAACTCATAGCTATTTCTTTAGAACTCCATTTTTTCTATCGTTTGAGTACAAGAAACTGCCCATTTACCGATTTCAACTACCTAATAATGTGGTCAGAAATTTGCAATTTGGCCAATTTCACGAAAACTAAAAAATATGACAATTTCAAAATAAGGTCCAGAATGAACAATGCAGACATTCCTGGCTCTAAAATAACATTTTCTTTGTTCATCAGTCATGTCTCCAGGCCCCTCTGATATTACTGTTGCTTTCTATTTTGAATTTTTATTCAAACAAAAAATAGAAGACTTACTATTATGCAGACTACTGCAATACTGTAATAATTGTATAAATAACATCAACCCATTCATGACTGCATATTAGAATGGCTAGTTGGACATTTATTGGACAATGGCATCATTTGTTTACTTTTGAACATTGGCAAAAATCAAACATTTCCCCTACTTTGAGCTCCATTTCTAGGTTCTTTTTATAGTAAAATCAATCAAAATTACCTCTATTTCTATAATATGTTTTCCATTCTATCAATTGAGACCAAGAAAACGAGAATACAACCATAAATACTATACGAAAATAGACCACAAAGTCGGCATTTTTATTAAAAAAAATGGTCGGAGTTTTTTTTTTCTCATTATGCACTGCGTGCTCCAGGATTTTTTTTATATGGTGCACACTGACCACACAGACCCATTCTCTCACATGTGGGCCTACCAGCTTTCTCCTGCTTGATTTGAAGCCGCTAGAATTTATGAGTATATATACGTCAAACACGGTACCTCGTAAGACGTATATATACGGCCGCGACAGTCAAAGGGTTAACAAGGAGCTGCTCAAAATATCTACTTGGATGACTGCCAATAAACTTACACTTAACACTGACAAACCCTACTATATTATGTTTGGTAGCAGAGCAGGTGTTGCACAACACAAACATTAAGATCAACAATACTCTAATTGCCAGACATAATGAGGGCAAATTCCTAGGCCTGTACCTCGACAACAACCTGAATTTCAGCACCCATGTCCAACACACAACAAAAAAAGTATCCAAAACGGTTGGGATCCTCTCCAAGATATGATACTACGTGCCACGATCTACCCTTCTCACACTATACCATTCACTCCTTTATCCATACCTCCCTCTTCAAGGGGGCTCCTTGGCGTGGTGAAGAGGCTCTTGGTCTGAGGAATCAGACCTGTCGGTCTCCTTCCTCAGACCGAACCTAATTACCCCCCAATCCCCCGTTCCCTATCCCATCCTCCCCATCCTCCCCTTTTTCCTTTCCTCCTCCTCCTCCCCACCCCTCCCTTTTGCCCTTCCTTTTTTTTTTTTTTCCCACAGGCACGCTAGTTCCTAGGTAGGGGAAAGGGTACCGGGGTCCATCCCATTCCGTTGAGGTTCTTGGTGGTGGCGTAGTTTGCTGTGGAATCTGGATTGCCTGGGGATGTCCCGATCCCTCTCCGGTATCCCGGAGGGTGGCTTTGGGTGTGTCTCGGGCGACGGGTGTATCTCTGGAAGCCTCCTTTCGGATTCCGGGGGTGGTGGCCGAAGGAGGTATGCTTTGTGGCAGTTTTCCGGCCGCCCTCTTTTTTGTCCCCCCGGGGAGCTCGGAGATGTGGGGTTTGCTTCCCGGGTTGCTGGTTTACTGGATGAGGGGGGGGTATGGCAGGGGTTCCATGCTGCATCTGCCTACTTGCGGTGCTGAGGTCCTTTTGGGGCGGGGAATTTCGGGCCCCTTTCTTCCCCCAAGGAACTATCCCTCCCCGGTCCCCCCCTTTTTTTTTCTTTTTTTTTTTTCCTTTCTTCTTTTTTTTTTTCTTAAAAAAAAAACAAAAAGTAACCTAACCATGGCAGCCCAGTCCCATAAACCCTGCTACCCCCGGGCCCCTCTTGATACCGCACCCCGTTCTGACCCCGCCTCGTTTTTGCCCACTCTTCGGGATCCTCATGCCCTGTACCTTTTCCCGGGTGTTTTTTTCCCTTCACCCGCTTCGGTACTGGGGCCCTGACTGACTCCTTCGTTTTTATCTGACCTTCCTCTCCTCTGACATGTTTCCCGGCTCTCCCTCTACGTGCCAATTTTCGAATCGCCACCCTTTCCCAGTCAACCAACTCGGGTCCACGCCAAAAACCCCAAACACATTACCGCTGATGAATTCTCCATTTCTCGTTCTTCTCAAAAAGATCGACACGTCCTTCTTTTACCTTTCCACACTCTTTTTCAGACTGCACAATGGATAAATTTTCACTTTACGACCGACTTCCTCTATGCCTATCTTTCTGACCCAGTATTGGCAAGGGACTCCCACCCCTGTTGGTAAAGATTTTCTTTTTTTGCTCTTAAAAAGCGGTACGCACATCATCACCGACAGAAGTACCCAGGAATGGCTTTCTCGTCTTTTTTCCCCTATGATACTGTTCCTGTCACTATTGAAAAAATCATTCCCCAATTTGTAGTGGTACCTCATTTTTTGCCCCCTACCTAGTTCAACAAAATTTCCAGAAAGTGGCACTGCATTTTTGAACAGCTGGAACTCCAAAATCCCCAAACCCAAGGTAACACTTTGTTTTTCCCGCCCCCGGGCGGAGACGATCCCTAGCAAAAGGGGCTCTTTAACTTTTGACAGCCTGAACCCCCCTCGTTTATGTGCAGGACTCGGGTTTCAAGTTTGAAGGTGATCCCAACCGCAACAGTGTAAAAATTGCTGGCGATTTGGCCATCCAGCGAAATATTTCAGATCATCGCCGAATCCCACTGGGTGCCGTGACCATTTAAACGTTTGAACGACCTCCCTTTGCCTTAATTGTCATAGGCTCACCCTTTGTACTCTGCCCGTTGTCAAGGGCTACTTAAACGAGCGGGGAAAACCTTTTTCCCCAAAGAGGCAGAAGGGCCCCCCTT